AGTTGTAGGAGTTCTCTATATATTTGGATATTACCTCCTTGCTATATACATGATTTGCAAATATTTTTCCCATTCCATGGATTGCCTTTTCATTTCTATCTTTTAATAGACAGTGGAAAATGCCCTAGAAACAGCTGGCAAAATCAAATGCCTATTCTTGGTAACTGTGGGGATGTAGGCTCTGGCTGGTCCTCCTCTCTAGTCAGCCCAGGACAGAGTATATGACTTCCTTCTCTAAGCCAGTAGGAGTTTCGGAGTCAGAGTGGAAATAGCCTTTGGAGACAACCCAGAGTTCACAAGTGAGTAAGTATGATGAGCAGGTTAATAGTTGGACATATAGAGCAACATATAATATTTGCTCCTAGGTGCCATCTCTCACTGAGAGCAACAACTTTAACTTCAAGTCCTGAGCAGTGGAATCAGGGGAGGATATTATCCTTATTCTGATTGGGGAAGTTATAACGCTACACTCTGTGAACCTACAAGCCATGCTCATATAAAAATGACACAGGAAGAATATGAATTATATTGTGAAATAGGCTCCTTTTTTTAGATGTCGAGATTGAATCCTTGGGGCCCTTGATATGTACGTCTTACCTTACAGCATGGCAGGGACTAGATGTCCAGGGCTAGTTTCTGTAATTGCAAGATAAAAGGAACTGACCTGCAGTCATGGCCCCTCTAGTCTCTCACCAATACTTGAGGATGACAGTGATGTGAAAGTGTAACTCACCAGTCATATCGCCAGGATCTTCTCTCCTCTTTCAGAGAAGAAAGCCCAGCTAGGCCCTTTCTGGGCAGATCCCACATCTCAGCCTATAGCCAGTGCCTTCTCACTTGGGCATAGTCTAGTCTCCCTAAGGCAGCCCAACTAGTTTACTAAAGTCTTGCATGAGAAAACAAGATAAGTCACTCCCAGCACCTTGTGGTGAAGGAAATTTGGCTTCCACCCACACCCGTACTAGCTCTGATGAGTCAGAGAAGGTCTGGCAGTTTTCCTATTGTCCCATTGGAGAGTTCTCCCTTGGTTGAGAAACAGAATTTCTGGCACTTCTGGTATCAAAAAGTTGTCTTGCAGTTGTGCCAATTAATTACCAAACATTGCGCCTGTGGGTTTAAAGTAGGAGTGTCATCCCATGAGCCTTGTATCAGCCAATTACCTTTCTTGACCAAATGAGAAGTCATAATTACTTCACCAAGCTGAAAAGTAGCAGTCAAAGCTAGAAGTAAAAGTTGGCACAGAAGGCAAGAGAATGCCAGAGGGTCAGATTTACATACATACAAAGATGTTACACAAAATAAAGCAATAAGTTCCACCCACGTATTGCACAGTTGATAATTCCCACTGGGTCTGAGAGGAAGTTCTGCATGCCCACAGCATGCATTCACACCCAGTTTGTGTGTGGAAGTGAGTACTCCTTTGCTTAAAGACAGAGAAGTTGAGCTGCATAAAACTGCAAACAATCCCTGGCCTTTAGATACCCAAGGATCAGCTCTGCTGTTCATTCCTACTTTGCATGTGTGTCCTCCAAAGTTCAGCATTTCCTGCAGTTAGATACCTAAGGTGCCGCAGAAGTGCCACCATTCCCTCCCAAAGTGCTACCTTCTTTGCTGACACCCCACCAAAGAGCATAGTGGAAAACTAAACATAGGAGATGATTGTGAACACTGGAGGGAAACACACCTCACAGATCCAACGCTACTACCTCTGCTGACCCAGATGTTCTGAACTACCCGCAAGATGACCATCTAGTACCTATCTAAATACCAGAATGGAATATAACCACACTGCAGAAAGCCCTTACAAGACTATAGTTAAAAAAGAAAAGACTATAGTTCAGTGTGAGTGGAGAGAGATCATAGATTTGTCTGACACAGGTTCGCTGTAGGAGTGGATCAACACAGGTGGCTTCCCCTTGTGTCCTTGGGAAAATGTACTGACAGCAGAAAAGCCCTTCTTAGAAACCTATAGTCCATTCATGGGCCTACTCAGTGAGCACAAAGGTGCTATGCAATTTAAATGAAAATGATACTGTACCAGTTAGTTGATGTAACAGTGGCAAGGAAAGGTGATCCCTAACCCTATCAAGACGTGAAATTTAGGAGTAAAATTGTAGAATATCCGACAGACTAGGCTGTAGGAACACGCTGATACTCCTAAATCTGAGCCTCTTATTCTCTCCGTCAGAGCACTGGGAAACATTGCTCTGTAGGACAATCTACTACCACGGCCAAAAACCTTCTAGGCTTCACTGGCTTGGCTGTTCTTTTAAGTGCAAACTATAGCCAACTTTGCTGCTCAGACAAATTTCCCTTCATAGCCACCCCCCAGCAAATCTTCTGCAACTCACTTTAACCTTCTGGCAAAGTCTAACCATTCAAAATTCTCTCTTATCCAAAAATGTGCTCCCCTCATACCCATCTTTCTTTGCATTTCACGCATTTCCTGCCCTAAGTCTATGCCCTGAAATGCTCCCTACAAAAATGGAGTCTAGACAAAATCACATTCCCTTCAACGACAAAAAAAAAGTTTCATGCTTTCCTGTAGCTTTCTCCTCAAAACAGAGCCCGCTGTTCCTCTACATGGAATCTTTAACCCAGGAAACAGTCTGAACTGTTCATACCTTCTAACAGAGGTACCTGCTATTGCAACAGTTGGCCTCTGGTCATCCACCAATGTCCTTTTGCCTTTACAACAGCTGGGGAGGTCGAGGCGGGGGTGGGTAAAAAAATAGTGAGAAAAGAAGGAAAAAATGGAAACAAAGACTTTGTAAATAGGGAGGAGAGGAGGAGCTGAAGGGAGGGTAGGGAATAAGAAGAAAAGAATCAGGGGCTGGGGATTTAGCTCAGCGGCAAAGCGCCTGCCTGGCAAGCACAAGGTCGTGAGTTCGGTTCCCGGTACCGGAGAAAAACTAAAAAAACAAACAAACAAAAGAAAGGAATCAAGTTATATGATATACAGATACAAATTCTCTATGATGAATGTGACCATTATGTATATCTAAAATGTACCAGTAAAATTTGATTTAGGGGAAAAAAAAAAAGACAGCTTGATCCTACTGAGGAGTCAATGGGACGATTTAGTAGATTTGCCTACCAGAGGGGCAGTTATGACCACAGCTCTTAGACTTGGAAAAATAAGATACCAGCCAGGGGACATTTATTCGTGTGTGAGTAAGGACTTTTATTATTACCCTACATGCCACAGAATTTCAAAGGGTAGCAATAAGACTTCTGTACGTCAAACAAACCCAGCCATCCAGATGCAGCTGAAGCCAACCATTCCCAGAAAGGCTTTGAAGTGCTTCCATATGCCCTTTCAACTGATATGCTTGCTAACATTCAGGTAATGGGGGCTCAAAGTAAGGGCTATAGAACTTGATGACCTATGTATTACATAAGCTAAACAAACACACCAGCCCTAGGGAGAATTTTTGTAATAAATGTCTTAGTGTCCAAATGAGCATTTTTCTTTACCTGCCATGCCAATGGTTACCCAAGACTCCTCCAGGGTAATGGTGATGTCTTCTGACTGTAGCAAAGCCTGGAAGACACTTGGACTTCCTCAGTCCAGGTGTTGACTCTCCCTTTCAGTACAGTACATCTGATCCTGGGCTTTGACCTTTTCTAAGATGGTTGGGACATCTCCTTTCCAATGATCCTCTTTCTGACTATCTGCACACTGGATTCTGTCTAATCTTTGCTGAGTAAAATGTTGAAGGCCTTGGGAGGTACCTTGAGCCAGTGGTTCAATTAAAGTAGCCAGAAGCTGTGTGTTTTTCTCTGACCTCGTATCTTTCTTTGGTCTTTCTGCCTGTTCCTGGTTGTTATATATTTTGAAAGCCCCCTCCTTGAAGGTCAGTGGGATTTGAGGTCCTACTGAAAGCTTTTGTAACTTCCTCCTAACATCTGGAGTAGATTGCTGTATAAAATATATGGCCATTAGGGCTTTTTTGTTCTTTCAACCATGGTTTGGTGTTATCATACTTTCAGAAGGCCTCCAGCAAGCAATTTTAAAATACAGCATTCATCTTCCTTTCTTGTGTTACCTGTTTGACCCTGTCATAATTGATAAGCATAACCAGACATCTTCCCATTCCTTCTGAAATACAAGTTATAAAATGCTCCATTCTTTCCTTATAGATAGGTACTGTATCTATGAAATATTTGCCTAACCCAATGTCACAAAAACTGTCTCATATGTTTTCTTCCAAAAATTTTATGGCTTTTAGATTTTATACTTAGTTCTATGATCCATTTTTAGTTACTTTTTGTACAAGGTGTGAAGTATAACCTAAAGATTATTTTTTGTATGGGGTGTGAGTTATGGCCCAAGGATTATTTTTTTGTGTATGGTGTGAGGTATGGCTCAAGGATTACTTTTTGTATGTGGTGTGAGGTATGGCCCGAGGATTACATTTTTTGTATGTCGTCCAATTGTGCAAGCACTACTGTTGAAAAGTACCTTTTTTTAAACAGCGTTGCCTCTCTACTATTGTCAAAAATAAGTTGTACATTTATATTCAAATTTTTATGTATCCATATCAAGTAGTTTTAGCCTTCTGATCTTTAATTCTTTTTCAGTTATTTGGCTCTTTCAGGTTGTTAGTATTTCTGTATGAATTTTAGGATAAGCCTGTTGGTTTTTATAATAAACATTTCTGCAATTTGAATTAGAATTGATTTAAATGCATAGATAAATCTGAGGAGAATTGACATCTAAACATCACTGAATCTTCCAACCCATGAAAAAAATGTAACTCTACATTGATTTGTCTTTATTAATTCCTCTCTGTAATTTTTACAATTTTCAGGGAATATGTCTTTTTTATCATTTGTCAGATTTTCCTAGTTTTTCATGGTGTGGGTGCCATTATAAATATTTTTATTTTAACTTCTGATTGTTCATTGTTAATATGTATTCATTTCATTTAAATTGTTAAATTACATAGCAAAACACTGTTCATAACATTTACTTATTATCCTTTTCATATTTACAGAATCTTGGAATTTTGCCCCTCTCTTACTGCTGTGTCTAAACTTTTGTAGGTATGAAACACATTTAGAAAGCTTTTTAAATGTCATTTTATGATAATTTTAGCAAAGGTTTCGGTTGCTACTAATTTCAATTGATTTTCCTCATTACAGGTCCTACTTCCTGCTTCTTTGTGTGATTGGGAGTCTTTGATTGACAGAAATTATGAATTTTACCTCTTGGTTGTCAGATATCTTTTATTCTATAAATAAAATATCTTTGGAACTTTGTTCTGGGATGTACATCAGTTACTTGGAACCAGTCTGATCCTTTTTATAATTTGTCTGAGGAGCCCAGCCTCTGGGATCCTGAGGCAATACTCCACCACCTCTGTAAGGGAACCCCAACACCAGTCACCCCAACATACCGCTGGTTGGGAGCTGGGAGGAGGCCAGCGTGACAGAGTCTGAAGACTATGGTCTCACTTAGGGACTTGCCAAGCAAATATGAAGGGGAAGCTGCAGTTCAGGAGAGGCCTGAGAAAGGGAGCCTGAGCCATGGTGTCCCAGGAACGCTGAGGGTGAGAAAGAAGGGTACTCAGATTCAATAGGTTGGTGTCCCATACCCCTCAACGCTCACTCAAACACACACACACACACACACACACACACACTTAACATATTTCTACTCACACTTGCACAAATACAAAAGCATACGTAGTCACTAACACACAAACACTCACACACTAAACACTCATGCCCTCACCGAAACACTCACTCAAACACAGATTCACATCTGCACTCATACACTTGCTTTTCTGGGCCCTGTTTTCACCTCCAAAGCTCCAGGGAAGCCTCGGTAGAAGACAGGTGGTGGCACCGTCCCCATGGCAAATGAGGAAACTGAGCCTGGGAAGAGGGGCCTCCTGAGAGCTCAAGAGAACTTGGCAGTCTCAGAGCTGGAGGTCAGCCCTGGTCACACAGCACCTGGCCAACACCTGCCCAGACTGCAAGAAGGCCTGGACATACTCAGCACCTCAGTGTGCTCTGATGCGGGCTACCGCCCCTGGCAGAGGCCAGACATAGGCAGTGGATGGCCAGGGTACAGGGTGACCAGCAGAGGCCAGGCCTGAGGGTAGAGCTTACAGAAGCCACACCCCATTCACCTTTTCCAGGTCCAGGCTAGACTCTGTTTGGTGTGGCCTTATCCATCCCTTTGATACACTCCAATTTATTTTCAGCCACAGACTTGCCTTCTTCCTGTTTAGGCCTATCCTGAGGAGGACTGAGCTTGCTGCTGGGCCCAGGGGTCACTGTCCCTTCCTTGTCCCCAGACAAGACAGAGTTGGAGGGTTGCTCAGTGAATGAGTGAGTAAATGGGTGAGTGAATGAGGCTGGGATGAGACCCTTGGTCCCTGGAGCCCCATGGTGGCCCGAGCCTGCCATCCCTCTGGTCCACTGAGTCCCTCAGCTGCATGTACAGGACCCATGGGCCTGGACACCAAGGCATCTGGACAGGTTGGCAGGCCTAGCCGTGGTAGGGGATGCTACTTCATGGTCACACAGGCTCAGTGCTGTGGCTCTCTCCCTTTCCTGATTCCTGGACCAGGCCCTGCCAGGGCATAGGAGTTCAGGGTGAGGTAGGAAGAGGGGAGCCCAGAAAGATCAGGGTCACCAAGCTGGCCAAGTAATTTCTCCAGGTTCCCCAACCCCTAACTCCTGGGAAGATCCAGAGTCCTCTGTACCTCAGGCCTGATGCAGCGGCTGAGTTCAGAATGCACAGGGACTGAGGCTGCGGAGCTCAGGTGGGGCGAAGTGAATCAGCCACCAAGACCAATGTCCTCCTGTTCAGATCTGTGTGGGGACAAGAGGACTCCATGCCCCAAGCTGGATTCCTCCCTCATGAATGCTCATATGGAGGGACAACAGGTGCTGAAACAAGGATGGAATCTTCTAGAACAGAGCCTGCAACTCCTTTAAGGCGTTAGGTAATCCAGCTCTGAGGTCATGCGGGGCCTGTTCCTGCCTGCCATGCAGGGCTCTGGGCACAGTATCTCATCCACTGTGGTGTCCGCACATGAGAGCCCAGAGCGGGACTCTGCTCAGTGGGAAAAGGAAGGGGCTCCCAGCATGAGTCCCACCCACCTGATGCATGAGTGACAGCAGGGGGAAGCCAGCTGCAGCCACAGGGTCAGGTTCAGAGCAAATATTGTCCTAAACCAGCTCTGGGAAGCGCCTGTGGCAGTTGTGTGTTTGTATGTTGTGTATGTTTCCTTTGGGAGCTGCTTCGTTGATTGTGGCCCCCAGCCAGCCCCCAGGACGGGCAGCCTCTTGGGCCCCCATAATTGTACCTCACATCTGGCTGTGGCTTGGGCTGGGGCTGTCCATCTAAATGGCCCTGTACTCATGCAGCAGGGCAGGTGTCCACCTGTCTCCTGAGGCTGGGTAGGGGTTGCTGGGAAGACCCGGCGGGTCAGATGGAGAGGCTGACCTTGCAAACCTCAGAATGGCCCCTTGGAACTGAGAGGGTTTGCAGAGAGGGACAAAGCAGCAGACCCTTCCCTCTGGGGGCCCAGTTGTTCCCACCATCAGTTCAGTGCAGAGGACAGGAGGGAGCAGGGAAGGACAGGAGCTCTGGGATGGGTCAACCCTAGGACCGTCTCTCAGGGACCCTGCCTTTCTCTGGGGTGCAGGGAGCACAGGATCAGCTGGAGGGGCTGCCCTCAGACTCCACTGACCTGTCGTACTATGAGGGGCTCAGCAGGTCCAGCCACTCGGAGGTGGCCAGGTATCAGTGATGCAGAAGATCTGGGCTTTGGGTCCCCACCTTTAGGTGGGAGTGGCCAAGGCAAGGTGGCCACGGCCACAGCATACTGAAGCAGCGCTTTGGACAGGCACTGGCCAGAGCTCCCTACTTAGGACCATGCTGGAAGGAAGCAGAGGTGGTGAGCTCCCTGTGCCTGGCATGGGTCAGTCAGACATCAGTCGGGTGTACTGCAGTGGAGCCTTGAGGGAGTACCTGGGACTAGAAGAAATATTGTCCACAGCACTGGGGCCAGTCCTCTATAAGTTGTCCTGCTTCAGCAGCAGGTCGCAAGTTGTGTCTTCATCGACCGCATCCTACCCTCGCCCCCGAAAAGGGCTGCCCTGAGCACCATTTGTTGACTGACTACTGAGCATCATTTGGCTTCTAGGCCATTGGCAGCCCCTTCCTTGCAGGGACCTCCCAGGAAGCAATGGCTCCGGGTCCCACTTGCACTGGTGTTAACTTTCTGTCCCATAGCAGAAACCCCTCAGAAAGTTTGGATTGTCTTTCTAAATATTTCTCCATGAGGTGTCAGTATGTCTTTAGCTAATCTGCTTGCATGATTCCAAACTGGCTACTGCGGGCGGGCAGTAGAGGCAGCCCGGAGAGGATCCTCAGCTCCCAGAGAGCTCAGATGGGCCTGGCTCCAGGTGGCCCTTTACTTTGCCCCACCCACAGTGGGAGGTGACCTGGGGTCCTGGGCCTAAGGCAGTGTATCCCCCACCCTTGGATCACCAGAACTGTGTCCAATCTTCTGAACTGGCCTAACACCCAGGCAACACATGGGGGTAGCAGGATCTTCCCTGACGCTGGGCCTGGCACTGTCCCTCCAGGTCCCTCTGGGAGGACCTGGCCACTGAGAAGTGACCCCAGGAAGCCAGAAGGAAGGGGTGGACAGCCAGATCCATCTCCATGGTGAAGCAGCACTGGGCAATGGTGACTGGCACTCTGCACGGGCTGTGGTGACAGTCAAGATACTACAGGCTGCCAGGCTCTGTGGGTTTCCTGGAGGTGTCCAGTGCTGGGCCATTTGCTTTCCCAGCGGGAGCCCTGGAGCTTCAGGTCCCAGCCCTGGGGAGTTCAGAGGGTCACAGAGCCCTGCCTATCCCAGGGTGAGAAACTGATTCCTACACTGCCTGTGCCCAGCCGCTGATGACAGTCAGGGGGATGGTAGCCTTCCCTGGGACTCTGGTCACAGACCAGCTGGGGTGATGGCACTCGAGGTGGGCTGTTCAGGGATCTCCCACCACCACCCTGACAGGTGAGGAGTAGGAGTTAGGAGCTTCTTTAGTCCATGGCCTTGGGACCTCAGCATCCCCTCCCAGGCCCCATAGTACCACTGCCAATCTCCCTCCTCACACAGGGACTCTCCCCCTGAAACACCCCCTCACCTTGGAAGCTGGCTCTGGAGCCCAAGGCTGGAGGTCCAATTTCTTCCCACTCCCAGCTGATACATGGTCAGTTGGGGGCTTCTTGTACCCCTTTGTCTTTGCATCCTGAGGCCTGGTATTCAGACACTGCCTCAACTACACCCTCCCCATTGGGATCTGTCCTATGTGGAGGCCAGCAGGGACCTTGGCAAGAGTCCAGAGGGGACTTGGGGGCGGATATAGTGGGCAGCAGGGGGCTTTGTGTGATATTCTAGCCTCCTTTGTGTTTGGGAATGAGGTTCCAGCAGCCAGCCCCTCAGCAAGCAGCCTCTGGGGGTTTTGGGTAGCAGTCCCCACACTGCTCTGACCCCAATCGGGGGACTGCAGCTGGGTTCAGAGCCATACCCTGTGGGCAAGGGAGGGGAGTACGCAGTGGGGCTGCCAAGGAGAGAGGACAGATGCCCCCAAGGAGGCCACTCCCCTCCTTACCCTGTGCCCAGAGACCACAAAAAAGTGGTCAGATCCATCTACTCCCACCCCCTGGCTCAGCCCCCATTCTGCTCTCACCTGCAATGGAGAGAGAAGGCAGGGGATGGGGAGGGGTGGCTGCTTGGCCCATCAAGTTGATATTCTGTGGGGTAAACCCAGCTGTGTGCAGCAACCAGGCTGCAGCTGAAGGTAGTAAGGTGTAAAGTCCAATCAAGGGGGTCCTGGTCTGTAGGACAGACACACGACCTTCGGGATGCCCATTTTCCAGGACCAGATGCTGCAAGCATTTGGGGGAGAAATTAAGTTAGGACTGACTGGTCCCCAACCTACTGGAGAATTGCGGTCTGACCTTCCTGAAGCTCCTGTCTGGCTCTGTGTGAGCCCAAGGGGAATAAGCTGTGTCCCTCTCTGCAGCAGTCAGGTCCCTGCTCACCCAACTTCCTCCTCTCAGTTATTTCATAGAAAATCCAAAGGTGAGATTCTGTCCCAAAGTAAAATAATAAAATAAAATAAAATGGCCAGGAGATGTGGCTCAGTGGTAGAGTACCTGCCCAGCAAGTGTGAGGCCCTGGATTTGATCCCCAGCACTGCAAATAAAACTAAACAATCAAAAAACCTGGAGTGACCATTTGACCCAGCTCTTCCACTTCCAGGTATGTGCCAAAGAGGAATAGACACCTGTAAGCACACTGATACTCATCCTGGGTATCCTCAGCATGCTGGCCATTATAGCCCCCAAGTAAGAACAATCCATATGGGCACCAGCTAATGAAAGGGTAACCCAAATGTGGCCTAGCCATACAATGGAATATTACTCAGCCATAACAAGGAAGAGTTCTGATGACATGGGTGGACTTCTAGGATATCATGCTTGGTAAGTGATCCAGTCACAAAAGAACAAATTATGCATGATTCCCTCCATAAGAGTCCCTAGAGTGGCCAGGTCCATACAGTCAGAAAGTAGGATGGTGGTGGTATAGGGGGTAAAGAGTGGAATGAGAGTCAGTGTGTAATTGGGACAGGGTTTCAGTTTGCGGGGATGAGAAAGCTCTGGTTGTGATGACTGCAACAATGGTATGAATGGGCTTAATGCCCTGAACTGTACTTAAACATGGTTGCAACGATAACGTTTATGTCATGTATATCTTACCACAATAAAAAGATTAAATCCACTTTGTCTTAATCCAATTTTAGATTATCATGGAGGTATTTGGCCCTGATTGGGACACTTTGTGCAGTTAGGAAAGCTTATGATTGTTTAAGCAAATAGCAGAGCTGTTTATTCTGTTGAGCTGTGGGAAAATCCTTTAATGTCTTGTTTGTTGTATTTAAAAGTGGAGATTATACACCACCACTGCCCGACCACACACTCCACTAGGCTGCACTTAGAGATAGATGCTGTGTTCCAAGCTTTGATGGCGTTCTCCAGATGGCGGTGGCACACGAGCCATCGCCCAGTCCAACCCACAGCCTTGCTAGAGCACAGACTTCCATGTCCTCAGTGCACGGTCCAGGATGCTGCCAGGGGCAGAATGACAGTCTCAGAGGAGACCCTGAAACAGTGAAATAGTCTGTCACATACTATCAAAAGTTTGTTTTCCCCTGTCCTACACAGATTGATAGTCCAGTGTTGCTAAATACCCACTTGAAGTATGATAAATTTCTCTCTACCCTGCAACTAAAACTGAAACAAAGCAAAATGCAATTACTTTATTAAAATCCAAACATTTGATCTAAAAAAAAAATGGCCTCAAGGATCTGTGATGAGGTACTAAACCACAGCTGTGTTGCCAGCGACAGACTCAGGATAGCATAAGGGCTGTTAAGTTTGAGAGGATATTAGATCTCTAGGAGGCCTCAGAAGATGTCAGGAAACTGGCCAGAGGCCAGGGAGGGCCTGGGCCTTGGGGTCACCGCACACCATGGAGGGACCCCTGGGGCTGAGGGTGGGGAGAGGAAATCAAGTCTGAAGACTTGGAGCAGAGAGAAAGATACCAGCAAAGGGCCTATTTCAGGAGCCAGAGGATGGTGAGGGCTGGCCACAGCAATGGTCCCCTGAGGTCACAAGGAACTTGAGGACAGCCACTCTGGGGAGGATTAAAGCCAGTTGATGTGGGTTCAACGAAGACAGGAGAGGAGCTAGAGATCAGAGAGCAAGCGAGAAGCCTGTGTCCTGGAGCTTTGGTCCGAAGGAAGGCAGACGAGCAGGTTGAATACAGCCCCAGAGACATCCACTCCCCACCCTGAATGTCATCACCTGAGGAAAAGGTTTTTGCAGATGTTTTGAGATGTGGAGTTCCTTCCAAGCGGGAGACAGAGAGACAGAGAGGAGAGAAGGGACAACCATGTGGCCACAGAAGCTGAGACCAGAGGGAGAAAGCCACAAGCTCATGATGCCAAAGTCCCCAGGACCTGGAGGAGGTGAGAACTCCTGGATCTGGCCACAGAGGGAGTGTGATCTTACCAGTATCTTAAATCTGGTCCCAGGATACTGCCATGGAGCCTCTGACTGCCACACCTATAAGAGAAGAAATTTACATGGTGGCTACGTTGTCACAGTGATCGCAGGACATGGATACAGGCAGAAGCAGCTGCAGAGTTGGGCCACGGAGGGGACACTGTGGGACTGAGCAAGCCGATGGGACTCCAGGAGCCAGGCGAGTGAGCAATGAGGGAGAGTTAGTGAGAGAAGATGAAGTTTGCTAGAGCTCCCCTGCTTTGGCTCTGCACCCTAGATTCATTCCCTGTCATCTTCAGGCACCATTATGTGCCTTTGTTGACCCTCACTTGCCCAGCTGACAGGTCTGGTCTCCAGATGTGGGCTCCAGTCCAAGCAGGCACTCTGACTCCAGGGTCCTCAGGGGTGGGGGAACCTGAGCATGCGCCCTGGGACTCAGGCTTTGGGCCCTGCAAGAGCAAATGGCCTGGGTCCTGGAAGCTGGGCAGCAGCTCACTTCAGCCCCTGTGCAGCCTACCAGCCAGGACTGTTGCCCCTACCCTGGGTGCTGTCTCACTCCCTAGTTCCCCAGATACTACTGCTAGAGGCCATTGGGAATTATAGCCCTGGCTGGCTCATAAAGTCAGTGCAAAGACTCCGAGGTCACCAGGTGAAGCAAAAATAAATGCATTAGAGAAAAGAGAAAGGGGCTGCTAAGTTACAAACAGGATGCAGCCACACTTAGGGTCGCCTCTCTGCTCCCTGCCCCTGGGTGAATGCTTGGTTAAACAGGCCCCTCCAGCTTTGTGCAGAAGCCTCGAAGGATCTGCCCAGTCTGAGGGACACTGTAGGATACTTGGTCTTTCTTTTTTTTGTCTTTTTGAGACAGGGTCTCGCTATGCAGTTGAGGCTGGCCTTGAGCTCACTTTGTAGCCCAGTCTGGCCTTAAACTCACAACGATTCTCCTGCCTCAGCCTCTCAAGTGCTGGGATTACAGGTGTGCAGCACCCCCACCTAATAGTTGGTCTTTCAAGTGCCTGCTTCTGCCTGGGAGCCTGGGCAGCTTGCAGTCAACAACTGCCTGTGTTTAAAGGGGGCTCCAGCCATCTTAAAAGCTGTAGGGAGAGGCAGGAACATAGGTCCTCCTGGTCCTGTCACCTAGGCAGCCTCCTGACCCTGAACCCTTCTTGGGAGCCCCAGGAGTTACCATGACCTGCCCACGAGAGTAACTGGGCCTTGCATGTCATTTCCAAATGACATCGGGCCACAGAATTCCCATTTGACTTCTTCAGGTCACCAGCCCCCCTCCCTAAATCTGTCCTGCAGACTTGACCCCTACCTGGCATCCCAGGCCTCTCTGCAGGCCTGCTGCTCTGGCTATAAGACCTACAACATCTGGATCAACATCTCCACTCACCCCCACCTCCATCCCCTGTCCCTTGGAGCATAACACTGGAGGCAGGACAAGGACCCTAGAGGCCTAAGACACCTGGGCTCCTGTGGGCGGCCTCCCAGGGGCCATGGCCTGCAGGGTCTCCACCAAGATGCTGCAGGCTGGGGCTCTGCTGCCCCTAGACATAGGGTTTGTCTGGGCTGGTATGTGCAGCCAGAACCTCCAGAACCCTGTCCCATACCTGTGCCCCACTTCCCACTTGCTCTAGTACACTCACACCGGGAAGGCCCCCTCCCATCCCTCAACCTCACAGGCCACCTCCCCATCTCTGGCAGCCTGTGACCCTCCTTGCTGGACCTCTGCATCCTCCCTGCCGCAGCCCGGCAGAGCCCACAGCACAGCACTAGGCTCACATGCTCACCCAGCCTCCAGTTCCTGTAGCCTCTTAGGTGGGTGGATATCAAAAGGGGCTGGGCCTATGTCCTTTGCATAGACGCCCCGGCACTAAGCTGGAAAAAGTCCTGGTGAGGGAAGTCATGAGAGAAGGTGGGTCTTGGTGGTTCCTGGCTGATCAGGTCTGGCAGAAGACTGCCGAGTGGTAAATGGCTGGCCCCGTAACTGGTCAAGAAGGGCGTGCTGTGTGTCCCAAGGGGCCAGGGCCGGTGATGCACCCAACTAAGTCCATGGGAACAGAGCTGAACTGCAGCTTGGGGCATGCCAGCTGGTATCTGCCAGCCCTGTGTGTGAGCTGCCACCTGTGGGTATAGACTTGCTCAATTTCCAAGTTGGGGAGGAAGGTGTGATGACAGCAGATCCCACCTGGCTCCTCCTCAGGGTCTTGCTCCTGGCTCCTGCCTGGATAATCTCAAGTAAACAGCCCAACTCAAGCCAGGGAAGAGCCCTTTCTTGTGCCAATGGCCCAGCCTGCAGCAGGGGCTAGAGAGGTGCTAAGGGAGCTGCTGAATTAGGCCTCCCAGATGGGCCAAAGCCACGGAGAGTAAGGGTGAGTCCCTAGAAGGTGTCCAGGGGAGCAGACATGTGAGCTGGATATGGAAATGCTTCAGGTAGAAGAGTTCAGCACAGCAGGTAGGGACTAGGCTGATGGTATCAGGGCAGAAGGCTAGGAATGGGCATCAGGGAGAGGAGCCAGGCTACATGGTGGGGTCCCAGGGGATCAGGAATGTGACTAGGGCCAAGGGTGCTGGGGAGCCCAGAGGACCGTGAGGCAGAGCAGGGACCCACTGGCCCTGAGGGAAGAGTCTGCCTGACCAAAAACTAGCAATCTACAAAGGGTCCCAACAGCAAGTCCCCAGCTTACCACACAATGGTAATCAGCCTCCTGAAGTTGGCAGAGCCCATGGCCTTGCCTATAGCTCAATATGAGGGCTGGATACGGTCAATGACATACACGGAGAGGGGAGGGTACTGCGTGAGCTACAGGCAGGGTCACAAATGAGCATGGCACATGCCCACAACAGGGAGTACCCAGAGGAGGGGTCAGACCCGGCTGGGCTGTGGGTGGCAGTGGTCAGGTAGCTCTGGGTGCTGGTGGCAGGCTCATGGAGTCCTCAGGGCTCCTGGCCCAGATGGTTCCCCAGATTCATGGCCTGGGGCCTCCTGGGATGATGGTGAGCACTCCATGTCCCTCGTAGCCCAGTCCCCACTTTCAAACATGGAGGCAGGCAGCAGAGTTGCATGAAGATGGCCTGAATGCTGGGCAGCCACCCCAGGCAGGAGCTCAGGAGGTGAAGTCTATCTACCCAGGAGGTCTCGGCTCCACACCAAACAGATACACAGATCTCAGGGAAAAGCCGAAGTTGTCACAAACATGACCCCACTAATAACCAGAGCAGAGGGGCTGACTCTGAAATGGGAACACCTTAAGGCACCCCCACCTAGTTCTCCAAGAACAGTCAGACTGACTTGGGGTGAGGGGGTGGCCAAAGGCAAGACCCTAGTGCAGGAGGTGGGTTGAGTCACAGCCACACAACACATACTGTACTAGTCTGAACCACTGACAGGCCCCACAAGACCCGCTACTCCCTGGGCTCTCTGCAGTAGATAGGGATCCCCAAGGGGCATATGAACATGGTCAGCTCTTCCTGGTCAGCTGCCTGGTCAACTTTTTTTGGACCCCAGGGACCAAACCAGAGCATTCCACCAAGCAGGGTCCCAACATGGAATGGAGTAATAGCTATAACAACACCACCGCCACCACCATCACCAGCTGTCCATTCCCCTACCCAACACCCAGAGCCTATGTAGGCTAAGGACAAACCACAAAAGAGCTGGTATCCCCCTTGTATACTGCAAGAGATAAGCTAAGGCCCAGGGCAAGTGGTTTCCTAGGCTCCACACAGCCCCTCCCCCATGACCTGAAGGACATAGACTCCTGTGAAACCAGGGATGGTTTCCAGGACCTGGTGCAGAACAGGCCTGCACAGGGCCACCTGCACTCCAGCACTTCAGAAGGGCAGCCAGGCAGGGATGGGGAGAGTCCCACTGAGACACCACAGTTCTCTGTGTGGATGCCACATCACCCTGGGGGAAGCCAGACCCACCTCAACCTTCTTTCCAATCTGCACATTCTAAAACTCAAGCTTTCCCACCCCGCAGAGATCTGCTTCCTAACCCAGGCCCCACAGTCCCACGTTCTTCCATGCTCCCACGCATCCTTGGGCCATGACAGGGTCCATAGGACCAATCATCTTGCACTTCCTAGGTCAATGCAGACCCATCCAGAGCCCTCTCTGGCCAGCCCCACCCAGGGCCAAGATCACCCTGGCCCTGTCCCTGGCCCTTACCCTTCTGTCCTAATTCCCAGGCTTCCATCAGCGGCTTGACCCACAACCCACGCATGACCAAGCTCCCTGCATCTTCCTGAGCCACCCTTGCTTTGCCCATCAACCTCAGAGAGTGGGGACCAGTACCCCTTACCTCGCACTCAGAACCCAAGATGCCAAGACTCTCCTTCAGGTCCTGATGTCACAGACTCCAGACACAGAGAAGGCTGGAGTCTGAACCCCAGACAACCAAGTGGCTCCCATGGTTTGTGTGCTTCTCCTGATGGGGAGCTCCTCACTTTAGAGCCCTTTGGAAGGTATCAAGAAGTCCTCCCTCTCATCCTACCTCACACAGAGTACCTCCTAGGTCCCCAGGTCCAGGTCCTGGGAGAAGCAGCAGCACCAATTTTGAAATCCTTTTGAAAATGTTTTTCCTTTGTTTTGTTTTATTTAGAAATTTCCCAAATTTTTACCAAGTTAAAGAGACAACCACAAGAATGTGTAGCCTGGGTGGACGACTGGCATAAACAACCCCTCCCCCACTTCCCAGTCTCCCCCAAACCACGGCCCCCCAACTCAGCAGCAAAAAATGCCAAACACGAATAAAAACATAGGCAACAACGTGGACAAAGCTTGCTAAGGGGCCTAGAAACCACCCTGAGGGCGTGGTATGTGCAGACACACACATAACACACCACTGTACATTATGCACACACACATATGTGTGTGCTTCATGTACACATATGATATATGCGCACTTGTGCACATGCATGCACACACAAACATGCACATGTACACAGGCTACACATCTGCATTCAAGCATATATGCACTGCTGCAGGGTCACCCTGTCTCTAGTCCTGGCTATGACATAGATGAGAGAACTCCAGCTACAGCAGGCTGCTGGACACCGTCCTTCACACTATCCCTCCTGTGGCCTCTCTCTCTGCCTCAGTTTCCTCTTCATCTCCCCCAACACTCCCCAGAGTTCTTCGGAGAATCCCGTGGAACAGGGAGGGGCTGGCAGGCTCTGCTTGTCAGCTCACACAGCCACATGATGGGAGGCTCAGCTCTGTGTCCCAAGGAGACCCTCAGAGCTGGGGACCCTCCAGCTACTCCAGGACAAGATACCCTTGGCCCTCAGAACATGGAGGCCACAGAGGCTGAAAAGGCCCTTGAATAGTCAGAGGAAACGCAGAGATGGTCCGGAGGATAGGCCACAGGTCTGCTTTAGAGCCACTCCCAAGACAGCATGCTCTAGGAGCCACAGCCCTTCCCTACAAGCCTTTCCCTTCTTCCCAAAACTCTTATCTCCCATGAGAAGCTGCCCTGGGCAAAGGAACTCTCTCGGCGGTTTTTTCAACCTATTGCGGCCTGGGGGTCCTACCCTGAGAGAAGCAGTTCCTTGGCCCAGGACACTTAGCTTTAAGGAATCACATTGGAGCCGGATGTTGTGGTGTGCACTTCTAATCCCAGCATTCTGAGAGGCTGAGGTAAGAGAAGCAGAAGTTCGAGCCCAGCCTGGGTTACTTAGTGAGAACCTTGTCTTAAAAATTTTTTTTTAAAATATTTTAAAAGGGGTGAAATTGCAAAGGCCCTGAGTTTAATCCACCAGTCTCACAAAAGAAGAGGGAGGATATGGAAGAGGCGAGGAAGAGGAAAGGGGAGGGAGAGGGGACGGGATGGGGGAGGCGAGTTGGGATTCAAACCTAGGAACTTCCTGCCCCGAAGCTCATTACACTGCTGGCCTGCAGGTCAGAGGCCCAGCTCTGACAGCTCCCCTCCCGGGGGTGCCTGCTCACCCAAGCTCCATAGCCCTGCTGTCCACTTTGGATGCCCTGCCAACCCCGAAAGGCATCAATTACGCTTGGCCCAGGGGCACCCCTTTGTTGGGGGATGCCAGGCACTAGGAGACTCAGGGGCCTGAGGAGGCTCTCAGTGCCTCCGGAATCTCCTCTCCAGGAAGATAGGCTCCTGCACTCTGTGAAAGTTGATCCAGGTCATGGAATTTTGCTGGCACAGAGACAGGAAGGAGAGGATCTTGGCCTTCCAAAATGTTTACTACATCAGGAAATTAATTCAGTACGCACCAGCTTCAGTGACGAGAATAAACACACACACACACACACACACACACACACACTCAGGACAAACGAATGCAGACCCAGCCCACTTCAAGGAGGAGGCCAGGAAGGCGTAGTCAGGCCACTGCCACAGACCATGAGCCAGGCAGGACCTCCCTCTCTGGCTTGGCCCCCACCCACACTGCTGGGGCTGTCACCTGTGCACAAGGTCAGGCTCCATTTCCCCACTGATGCCCTGCCCGGGGGTGCTGCTACCCTGCAGCCTCAGGAATGCGCCTTTCCAGAGCCTAGGATGGAGACCCAGCCAGCAGCATGCTGATGTGCAGCTGGCTGGGGGCGGATCCTGGCCTGCCCTCCTGCCCCGGCTCCCCAGATCCCCACGCCCAGCCGCTGGACCCTCCTCACACTTGCCTGGGCCAGGCCAGGGCAACAGGGCAGCAGGGCAGTGTGCTTGTGCAAGGCCAGGCTGAGACTCAGATGCTGATGGAGCTAGGGCCTGAGGGAGAGGACCTGAGCGGGGAGGGCAATGCCAGTAAGGGGACTACACAAGGCAGGCTGCTGCTAGAGCCGTGGGGCATAGCTTCTCACCCTGGCTGCAAGGCCTCCAGCAAGGCTGCCTGTAAAATGGGATAATCTCACACCAGGCAAGGCTGCCAGAAAGGCTGAGAGGAAGCTCTGGGCCCTCCTCTTCTTTCCTGTGTCCTAATACCCACCAGCCTAACACATCAACCCTCAGTGCTCCCCGCCTGCTATCATCTGAGTACAGGTTCTTGCCTGATGACCCCTCGTCCCATCTCCTTAGGTGCTCCCACTCCCCAAAGGAGCTCTACACAGGACTGATGGGGAGAACCAGGCAAGAGAGGCAAAGTGTTTCCCCAAGTCTGGTAGCTGGAGACACACATACCCTGCCAGGTTTTGCCTGACCCCCACCGGCTCTACCCAGGCATAGCAGAGCCCCCACCATGCCCTAGACTTGGACAGTAGAAATTTCTTGAGAAGGACAAACTTGTTGAGAAAAGGGGCTTGTTCTATGGCTCCCGGCCTGCTTCTCCAGGTCCCAAGGCTTCTACCCCATCCATTGAGTCCCCCTTACTCTCCTTTGACGTTGAGCATTCTGAGTTGGGACCCCAGTGTCTTTTTGGTCCCTACTTGGCAGGTACCACTGTCATATGACAGGGCATAGACCTCTGCTCCCCTAAGTCATGAGCCCCATCTTACAGACCACCATGAATATTCATAAGACATGGAGACTGCCATTACCCTCCTGGCCCTGTGGGTATGTCCATGCCAACACTTGGTTCCACTGTTCAGGAAGCTACATGGCCCATGAGCCACAGGTGCCTCAGTGGTATGCAGGGGTAGCAGGATGGAACCTGGAGCTCAAGAAGACCCAGCTGGCCTTAGTCTCCCCACAAACCTACCATAGCCATAGAAATCTGCCTTCACCCTAAGAGCTTCCTTCCTATTGACCTTTCTCCAGCCCAGCTCCCTGCACAGACAGTCTAGTGTCTGACTCTGCCCTCATGGCTCAGAAAGCACCCACGATGCTGGAGACATGCCAAATCCCCAGACCATGCCATGACTCCCTCATGTATTGTTATGGTTTGGAGCTTATTGCAAGGAGAAACAGGACATATTATAATACAGGACACATTTTTATAAGATTATTTATAATAGTTACCCAAAGAATCATATACAAGAGAGTGCAGGAAATCTGTCCACACACTAAAGACCAAAGAATCCGGCTGAGGGCCTGCATCCCGCGATAATGGCCTGCATGAGTACCGCTGAAGACCTAGAGCCCATAACAATGCCTCCCACAAATCCAACTGGAGGCCCAAAGCCCACAACAATGTCTCATGCAGGCCTGTTTCACAGAGCTGCCCTGGGAAGGCCCAAAGGTCAGTGGTGGAATCTAGAAAGTCTGTGCCAGCAGGAAGAAGGATCTGTGCTAGCAGGCTGAGGGATCTGCCCTGGAGCCAGGAAGTGATGTGCAAAATAGGAACCAGAGCTCCCCTGAAAAGTACCACAGCCATCCTCAGCAACAGTGAGGTCCTGCGCTCCTCCGATGATGAAGACAGCTGAGTTCCCATCAAAAAAACCAACACAGCAAGCTTCTCCCGGAGACTGAGCAAAGCACCATCTTCCCCTCTGGAGCCAGGAAGCGATGCTCAGAGTGAGGACCAGAGCTCCCCCAAAGTGAACCAAAGTCATTCTCAGTGCCAACAAGGTCCTGAGCTCCTCAGAGGAAGAAAACAGCCAAGTTCATCGGGAAAGCCAGCATGACAAGCTCCTCCAAAAGAACCAACAGCTCCTCACAGCTCCTTCTCTTCTTCTCCCATTCTGCCTCTTACGCTGCTGGCAACAATCCCCAGGTGGGCCTCCCACACCCAGCACCACGCTTACTCAGTTCAGCTGGGTATTATAAATTGACAACCAGTTGTCAATCCCCTACATGTGTCAAGGGCTCGGAGGTGGCACAGGCTGGCCCGGGGAGTCCATGACACATGTGGATCCTTGGAACATCTTTTGCAAGTGAAAAAAGGAAGCATCCCAATCCCCTAACAGGGCCAGATGTGGATTCAGTTGGGTCCTCGTGTATTGGGCAAAGGGCCTTATCCTCAGTAAGAGTCTACACTCTCTTCCTCCTTTGGAGAGACCACCATCTACCCTCTCCCAACCTACTTAGCTCTGGCCTCTAACTTGCCCCTGCCTAGCACTTTCTTCTGTCATGCTACCTCCTTGCCATCCCTGCTTGGACCAAAGTCTGTTGTGGCTCTGACCTGCAGCTGGGATGGCCTCAACCCTGCTGAGAGTCATTCTGAGGATCCTCAGCTCAAACAGAATCAATCAGATCCCTGACTGAGACCTATGGCCCCTTCACCCATCTCCAACCTAGTACTCACTCACTGGCATCATTCTATCAACTCTGGGCCTCCACTGCCCAGCCCCCAGCCTCAGAAGCCCCTTCCTCATGTCCTCCGGCGACAGCTAGAGGTTACCTTCTCGCAGCAGTGCCTGTGACCACCACATTTCCTGTTTGGTCTCCATGCAGAGATAGAGAATCTGGCATGGTATGGTGGGGAATTTTCAAGATGCAATATGTGTATATACCAATTCCCCAAGATGAATGTAATTATTATGTATCCCAGATATATACCAACAATTTAAAAAGTTTTTCTAAAAATTTAAATAAAAAAGAAGCAGGCATCATCCAACAGCTTCCTTCATCCCTGAACTCAAAGCATATTCAGTCCACATAGGCCCAAAGGCAAGAAAGAAGAGATCGCTGAGAAAGGGTCAGAGGCCAGTAGTAGAGATAC